CAGCCCTACTGGCTGGGGATATTCGTGGGAGTTGAAGTCCACTCATCTTAAAGTGGCCAAGTTTGGACAACACTGGCCTATGGCATGAATATAGTGAAAGCATGGGAGGCAACCACTTGGGGCCCACAGGGACAATAGGTCCCACCAGGCTCCCCCTTGCTGCTCACTCCTTAGCTGTCACCCCCTGCCCTGTAGAAGGGAATACGTTGCAACGGTCCAGACTTCACCAGATAGTGGCCCATTTATGGTAGGGGCATCACTTCTGAGATCTTCATGCAGGGACCACTCTCCTTCAGAACAAAAGCCAGACTGAAAGTATGGCCTGCCTCATGTTTAGATTTTGAAAGAATCTGTATGAAGTCTATGGAAAGCCTATACAGGCCATGAAATTCTGACCCACGCCTGTTAAAGCAGTACACACATTAACATTAAATCCACCCCACCCTCCACACACACACACACACACACACACACAAATGCCTTGGAATTTCCAGCACCACTTGTGTCAGATCATTCCAGAGATTTTGCTGGGCAGGGGATGCTGACTCTTGCACACTCAGAATGAGATACAAAATGAAAACTATCAAATACAAGCATACAATAGGAACAAATGAAACAAAATTGAATGAAAGAGCGATAGAAGAAAAGAAGCAAGTGAGAATGCTGTAGGGCTGTGCTCTTAATTCCAGTAATCAAGAAACGGTCAGTATTACATACAGAAGCCCTAGTCCTTCTGCACATCAATTGCATTAAGACTGTATTGAATCCTGTAATTCTTTCTCTAAATCTTTTTTTTTTTAATACATTTGGGGCAAGGGCACACACTCCTATTTATGCACAGTCCAGGCCAAGTAAAGTCATACTGTGTCATAGTCTGGGCAGCTGTAACAACAAGGCTTCATTTAGTGATCAGGGCTGGGTTCAACTTGCTGCCTTACAAATCCATTGAATAGCCTTGTTGACATCTGAGTCATTAATCCACTCTCTAGAAATTGGCACATTTATCATTTATTACAGCATTGATATGATTCTGTTTATTTCAGCTGTTTTGTCCCATAGCCCATCATCACCCACGTTGGAAATGTCTTATGAGTCACCAGATTGCTTACTCTTGCATTTTGGTATCCTACATATTAATGGTCATGAGAATAAACCAGAAAAGTAGCAAAACACTTGTAATAGTAGCTGTTGTAATTAAAGTTTTGGCAATAATAATTTGTAAGTGTGTAAAATCTCAATCAGCTAGTTATTCACGTCAGTTCTTGTGTGGACACAACATATGCTTGTACTGTGGAAACTGCATATACTTTGTATTATTGCTGCAACAGAATCTTCTTTTCCCCTTCCTTTCCACCTTAGGGACAAATTTTAGCAAATCTCAAAGCCATGGATTCAGATTGGTTTGCCCAGAACTACATGGGCAGAAAGTCAAAGGTAAGATTTTGGTTAAGGTTTTACTGTGAAGTTGTATCTCCGTTACATTTCTATATTATGTCCATCTTCTTGTCTGGTTTCCATGCAGCCTGTCTTACTTTACCTGCTAACCTAGCACAGAAACCTCAAACAGGGCATGGTGGAAGTTAGATACTTCATGTTTATAGTTGTCTTTACTCCTTCCTGATGCCCGTTGTTTGCCACATGTAAGAAGGCTTATTGCTTCTCCAGCCATCTTTCAGTGACTGAAATAGTCATCAGCTGAGTTGATATGTTACCTACTCTGATTGTCTTCCACGCTTATGTTTTGTAACTTTCTTCCTTTCATAGGTGAAATTGGGCAATTTGTTTCAGAGCCTAAGTCTCATTTACTATTTTCCTGATTACAGATTGGAGTTCCTCCTATTGAAAAATTTAATAACTGGGGTGGATCCCTGTCATTAGGACACCCCTTTGGTGCTACTGGCTGCCGTTTAGTAGTCACAGCTGCCCACAGGTTGAAGAAGGAAGGGGGACAATATGGCTTAGTGGCTGCGTGTGCTGCTGGAGGACAGGTAAGAAGCCTGTTATGAGCCATCTACTATGACCATAGTTGCCTTGTGCTTGACAAGGCTTCCTTTTATAATCCCATTTCTCCAATGTTCCTTTTTCTTCTTTCCTGCCTACCGGGGGGTGGGGTGGGTGGGGGGAAGCCTTGTTTCTCCCTTGTTGAGTAATTTCAGTTCTTCTCTTGCTGCAGGGCCATGCAATGATTGTTGAGTTCTATCCACAGTAAGGAGGTGAAAATCAGCATGTGATCTTCGAGACAACTAATGTAGTAATAATGCTAAAAAAAAATACCTCTGGGCTTTCCTAGAAAGGACTCTCAGTGGCTTTTGTTAATATTTTCTAGTGCCTTCAAAATTTGTTTTACAGCAAACAGATAAGGCCACACAAGTTTTATCTGGATATTTATGTCAATAAAGTTTTTCTGCCACTTAACAATATGTAACTACTTTTTTCCTCCATGGGAACAGTATTGTAAGTAAGCATGCTCTGTTCTGTAAAGTTGTCTGGTAGTGAGCAATAAAGCAATATTTGCTATGCAAAGAGAATTGCTCTTAACAGTTTTGAAGCGATTTGCATGACAACATGGCTCTGAGGTTTTTAAAAAAAGGAAAAGCCCTAGTAGAGAGAAAATAATTTACAATGTTTGATACAGTATTTGTCTAACATCAGCCTTAATAAATGAGAAAGAAGACTGGAATACATGTGTGGCTGTTTCCTATGAGAATGTCCCAATTTTAGGATGCAGAAGAGCTGTAGTAGCTTCTCAGATATTTGCTGCTTCAGCAGTTCTGCTTTTGGGTACTTTTTTCTTCTACTGCTTTAATGGTAGCACATGCCTCCTTAACCATCTTGTTAGTTAAATATGTGAAGAGGTTTCATTTGTAACATCTCATCTCCCCGCCCCACCCTACCGATTTTCAGACTTCATTCAGGGTAGAATTGGGGGGAAGGTATTAGTGGCTGATGACCCACTTCCACACTTAGAGAACTGTCCTCCTCAGAAGAAAATTGTGGTGCTGGAAACTAAAACTGACCTGGATTTTGTCATATAGGTAGCCCATTTCTATAAAACCAGCACTGTGATCAGACTTCTGCCCAATATCCAGAGTTAAGTATTAGATGGAATTGGATCATGCTAAATGAAAATCAGATCAGTGGCTTAGCATGATATGTGAACCTGGCTGTTGCATGTGGGAATGTCTGGATTAAAGCAGTGCTGCACAGCTTTACGTAGGATTAAATGTTCCCTTTCACCACACCACACCACCCCCAGTCGCTAGTTTTGGAGTATTCCTCCAAAAGAATGGAGAAATTAATAAAACATAAATACCAATATTAACTTTATTTAATTCAATATAATGCTTTTTAAATTAACATGAACTCAGATTTTGTCTTAAGACCATTTATTCTTTAAAGGGGGGGGAGGATCTGGGATACTCCTCAAAGGTTATGTGCAGGTTTCATCCCCTAAGGGATGAACCATTCTTGGTATTGAAAAATCATAATCTTGGACTCCAGAATAAAAGTCATGACAGATAAATTCCTGAGGAAATAGACCGGGTTCTTGTGGCTGTGAGCCTGGCCACCTGTGTTCTGAACCCATGTCCCCCCGGTTGGTCAAGGCCTCTGAGGAGGTGGCATGTGGTTGGGTCCAAGTGGTGGTTAATGCCTCTTTGTGGGAGGGGGTGGTGTGCCCCCTTTTCAAGAGGCCATTCTTGGACCCAGTAGTTCTAGACAACTTCTGTCCAGTCTCCATCTGGATGGAACAGTCTCCAACTTCCCTTTTTAGGGAAGGTTGTTGAGAGGGTGGTTGGCACTCCATTCTGGCTTTCCTGGACCTCTCAGCGGCTTTCAGTACCATCAACCATGGTATCCTTCTGGACCAGCTTTGGGGGTTGGGAGTGGGAGGCACTATGCTATAGTAGTTCTCCTTCCTCCATGGACAGTTCCAGTCAATGGTGGGGGAGGAGAGCTTGAGGCCTAGGCCCCTGCAATGTGGGGTGCCTCAGGGCTCAAGTCTTTTGCCTCTCCTATTTAACATCTATATGAAATTGCTAGGGGAGATCATCTGATGGCATGGGGTGTAGTATCATTAGTATGCTGATGTTACCCAGTTATACCTCTCCACCCCTAGCTGGACAGGTGATGCTGTTGTGGTGCTGGCTGAGTGCCTGGAGGCTGTAAGGGTCTGGATGGGGAGAAAGTAGCTTCGACTCAACCCTGGCAAGACAGAGTGACTCTGTGTTTTCGGCCCCCCAGGCCCAGGTGATACTTCATCTTTGACTCTAGACGTGGTGGCACTCCCCCAGACTGAGCTTGTGCGCCTGCTCAGTCCGGGGAGCAGATGGCAGCCGTGGCTAGGGGGGCCTTTGCATGGATTCCTCTTGTGCACAAATTGTGCCCCTTCCTGGGCTGGGAGGCCTTGCTCACGGTCACTCAAGCCTTGGTCACTTCCTATTGGGATTACTGCAACGGACTCTATATGGGGCTGCCCTTGAAGACCACCCAGAAGTTACAACTGGTCCAGAATGCAGCGGTGCATGCAGTGATGGGTGCCCCTAAGTTTACCCATGTTACACCCCTGTTGCACGAGCTGCACTGGCTCCCAATTTCCTTCTGGTGCAATTCAAGGTGCTGGTTATTACCTTTAAAGCCCTGTATGGCACAGGACCAGGTTATCTGCAGGATGGTCCTCTCCCTAAGGACATCTGCCCATCCTACCAGATAGGATAGGGTGGACGTGCTCCTAGTCCCTTCCCTTAAATGTTGCCATCTTATGGGACCTAGAAAGTGTGACTTTTTTGTGCCAGCCCCTGCCCTATGGAGCACCCTTCCCACTGAAGTTCAGCAGACCCTCACTCTTTTAACCTGAAAAGCACTTAAGACCTGTCTTTTCCCCCAAACATTGGGACAGGGTGAGATTGACAAGAGGATTTTGTAGTGGACTGCATGTGAAAGTTTAACTATGGTGCCAGGTTTTAATATTTGTGGTTTTAATATTTTTTATTGTACACAGATGTTATTTTAACTGTTGGTTGTGAGCTGCCCAGAGTTCAGTACAAGGTGGGCGGCTACATAAATATTTTAAATAAATTAATTCAATTAAACGTGTGTTCAATTTTTCTGTATGCTCTACAAATTCTATTTTCTATTCCCCCATGGTTGGATATACAATCATGATGTTGAAAAAGGCTTTATGCGGATGGAACATTACAGCCATTTATTTTCCTTACTCTTTTCCCCTTCAGCTCCTTTTCTAGAAACAAGGAAAGCTGAGATGTTGTTGAAGAGTATTTAGAGCTAGTGATTGTGTCTACATTTTATTTTGTTAAGGAGATTGGGACAGTACACAGGCACATACAGCCCATTACTGCATGCGTGCAAATCCAAGTATCTTCATGTTAGTAGCAATTGTCCTGCAATTTAGTTTCTAGTTCAGTTGGGCATGGAAGGCCTAGTATGAATTGTATAATACTGTAGTTGGACTATCATTGGTTGATCTGCAGTCTTAGTTCCTTCTTAGATAGCATAATCCAAGTAGAATATTTGAAAATGCTAGAATGGTCTACCAAGTGTTATATTATCAACCATAAATATATATATTTGTTGGGGAAACAGCTTGTACGTATTTCATATATTGTTGGGACTTTTGAACAGAAGGACCTATCTCTATGGACCCCTTAAAAAGCAGTGTCAAACTGGAAAAGCAAGGCTAACCCAAGTCTTGGTTCAAGACTGCTTAAGGGTACCGTAGATACAACCTATCTCAGCAGACAATACTGAGTGTAGATGGACAGTCAGTCTTGTTTGGATGAAAACATCGGAAGACATTTCAGTGCACAGGAGACCAAACAGCCAGCTGAGGCTGCAAAGCAACAGGATAAAAGGCTCCTGTTCTGTGGTAACCCAACAAGCTAGTTTCATGCTCAGTGGCTGTAGAGGTGACCCTAAGGGCCGCAAACAGTATTTGGAAATTAATACTTGACCTCAAGACTATGCAGGGTTTGTCTGGAACAGACATCTCTGTTCATGGGGGCATTTGGATGGGCTTTTTGAAATTATACCACTCATCAGATCAGCCTGCTTTTGCCTGAAAGAGAGTTGTGACACAAAGGAAATGTTTTTGAATCACAGCTAACCAGACTAGAAGCACCCATACTAGTACAGTACCAGTGCTTGCTCACCTGTGCAGCCTGCCAATCCTGGTTGTTGAACTCAAAATCCAAAGTTTCACTCTTGCTCCATGAACAAAAATTGAGATGCAAGGATAACAAGAATACTGTATGATAAACTGGTTTATCGCCTGCTCAGAAGCCTATAGAGTCAGGAAGAAGTAATGGAGGGGGAATTCCCTACTAAGTTCCAAAGCTTCTTCCCACTTTGGGCTCAATGAAGATAAGAAACTTCACTTCACTCTGCGTCAGCAATTACGAGAATGAGGCACATAGCCCTCCCTGAAATGGCAAAGAAAACAAGGGTAAACTAGTCTGTACAGGCAATGGGGAAAGAAGTTCTTCAGGCTTCTTGAGAATATTGGCTATGCTTTCAAGAGGAAGGATTGGAGATTAAGCCAATAGTAAGGTCTGTCTCTTCTTTGGTTTAGGAAATTCAAATTAAAGGGCAATACATGCTGATTAAATGGGATGGAAAATTGAACTTATAAGAACAGTACAGCAATGGGGCGTCTTCCAAGTGGATGTACATCTCTGAGGGAGGATTCAACCAAGCTAGGCTTGGCTAGATGACATACAGCCTCTAGATTCCTTAATGAGATGATCTGAAGAGACAATTGCCTGATATGTACCCTCCCAGCTGTAGGTAAACTGCACAAGTGTTTCTGTAGGGTTCCCTCATCTAAAAGGAATGTACAGCGACTCCTGGTGTCCATATTGTAGAAGTATCTGCATTTGATACTTTCCGGCCAGCAAATACATCTTTCTAAACTCCCAGTTGGAAGCCCACTCATCCACCGCCATTGCATAGATGCATTTGCTCAAGTAAGATTAATTAAAATATGCAGGGATTAATATTAAGTAGATTTTTTTTTAGGCAACAGGCCATCTGACATGGCACCAGGACTTCTGTGTCCTCCCTCAGAAATGTATAAAAAACATTGGTGCCTACATTCACCATTTTACCTGGGATTTGGTGCTTTAGTTGGCAAAGTTGTGTCTGTCCACCCCTTGCCTTGAACCTGAAGCGATACAGGCAACATTGGACAGCTCCATTGTTAGAGGGGGTTGCACATGTCCTTCTATCAACCATCGGCAGAAGTTAGGTTTTCTCTGTTCTGGTCCTTTCTGCCCAAGTCCATTCACTTTAGGGAGAGTTTTATCTCTGCACTTCAGTGTTTGGTTCTCATTTACCTTTATGGCTTAACGTGGACGTGGCTCTGAATGTACACATTTTTATTTGCAGTTTTGCATAATGTACCTAGTTCTTGCAAAATATCTTCTCTAACATGATTCTGTATGTTATTTTTATGACTAGACACATTTCTGTGCAGACTGTTTCCTAATTATTTATTATTTATTATTTATTATTTCTGATCAGTGAATTCTGCTGAAATTTGCACTTTTCAGCATTTGACAGAGTTAAGTGTTATAATGTTACATAAATTTACACTCAAATATGTACATTCAGATGTTTTCTCCATAACTAACCTACATGTATCCAATGTTACCATGCAGTGTATCAGGGCTTGCTGCTCCTTGCACAGAATTACTATTGGCAAGTATATTGCACCAAAGCCACGCAACGTATTTCAAGAGTGAAACATCTAAAGCCAAACATGTCCATTCTGACCTCATTAGACATGCTCTGATGTTGAAACAGGCCATTCCTACTATGAAATAGGTCAGAATTGTCCATTCCTAAGTCAGACCACTTTCGGTAAGATCAGAATGGGACATTTTGTGGTCCATAAATCTTGATTTCAGAACCTTTGGCCCATGTAAATAAGGAATACAATAAAAAGCAGCAAAATTATTTTGCTGAAAAGATCATTGCCTTAAGAAAGTTAATTCGCATAACTGCCATAGCTGAGCTGAAGATTTTGTTCCATTTTATACACACTTAGAATTAATTGAGAACAGTGACAATATGATGACTAAACTGTGAGGCAGCAATTGTCAGGGTAATGATGCTCAAGTTGGCCCAAAAGCTAGTGTGGGGATAAGAGCTTTGAAAACACTAAGCAAAACTTTCCTTTACTCTGCTGGGGTTCCTCTGACAGTGAGGGTCTCATGAGTTTAAGCAGTATTACAAACAGCATCAGAATGTTGACTGATACAGAGAAAACGTAGATTATTTTGCTGGGAGAACTAAGCTCCATTATTTCTCCTGCAGTGCTGAACCTTGGAGTCTTTGCATTTGCAGTATTTATTTAGTTAAACAATTTACATGGCTGCCCAATTCACAGCAATGACTCTGGGTGGCCCACAAAAGATTAAAACCAAAACACAATATATATAGAACCCTAAAATAATGAGGATGATGATGAGGATGATGATGATACCTTTAACACCATCAAACAACATCTGCCTATCCCAGGTCCTTGGGAAGGACTTGATAGGTGGATAAAAATACCAAATCCAGCCTAAACATCTGGCTGGCTGCGACCAACCATAATATATAACATATGCTTGGGTCTAAGAACAACCCAATTTTGATCCATATACGTGCTACCACTGAGCTAAGGCTCTTCCTCAATTAAATTAACACAGGTTTGTTATGAATGTTTAGGACTTAAAAAATCAGAGATGCCTTTGTGCGCACGTGCACACACACACACACAGACTCACACAACAATCAGATTTATTACATTAAATAATAATAAGAACATCTTGAAAGAGCCCAGATGACCAGCAGAACTGAAGTACTGATATTGTTTCATATGATCTTTCTGACTCCATCCAGTCACAAATCTATGCATTGGTGCACAGATGTGACATTTGATCACATTATATATTACCTAAGAATAAAAATAATCATTAAATACTTATGGTCCTTTCCTTGTTTGCAGTTTACATCAGCACTATAATGCCCTGTCAGTCCCAGTGTTTCCCCTTGATCACATCATGCTGGCTCTTATCAAACAATTACAGTACGTAAGGGTTAGAAGGGAACTTGAAGTTCATCTACTCCAGTGATTCTCAAACATAGCAACTTTAAGATAGCTGGACTTCAACTCCCAGAATTCCTCAGCCAGCGTGCATTGTCTACTTTGTCATCTAATGGCCTCTTTGAACTGCCTTCAGTTTTTCCAAGCATCAGCATCTTTTCCAATGATGCTTGACTTCTTGCTAGATCATAGTTCTGTCATATCCTACATCAGACTTTCCAGCTTGGTACTTATTAGTTGGGTTAGATGATGATGATGATGATGATGATGATGATGGAGGCCATTTCTTCACTAGTGATTTATGTAGTCTCTTATGGGGGTCACCCATCAATTGTGGCAGCAATTCACAAATGTGGCCAGCCTTTATATTGCCATAGTGATAGTTGAGTGATACTATAAAACAATATAAATCACTAGTGGGGAAATATGGTAAATACTTCCAGTGAAAGAAAGACCATCATCCCTCAAAATAGATTCTTCCACTCTCAAATAGTTCACATCATAAATTGCTGTTTAACCAAATTTGATTTCCTCTAGAATGCTTGTGCAAAGAGGGAATTGGTTGTTTTTGTTCCAAGCAACATATAAAGCCCAGTCCTGGGAGTAAATCTGATAAGCAACTCCTGCAGAAGGGAATAAATGAAGGCTTAATGAGGTTTGCTATTCTCTTTCTTTCCCTGGAAATCTGCTGAGTAGGGCAGATGGTGTTAATATGCTTGCTTTACATACAAGAGATTCAATTGCACCTCCCCATTTCCCAAGGGGATGGAGGTGGGGGAAGAAGGCTGAGATTCACTCTCTCCTTTCAGATCTTGTTTCACAATGACATAGTCAGATACACCCACCCCAAAGCAGAATGTGGAGTTCACCATCAATTCATCCCAGGGCAGGTTGAGACATCACACAGTGTCATCATTTGGATATATACCTATAGATACAAACTACGGTCTGAGTTTGGGCATCTCCAAGGCCTAATTACTTATGGTTTAGTGTGTTTTGCAAATTAGATCCATATAGGTATGAACTATTCTTGGAGTGAAGCAGGAGGCATGATCAATCAAATGATATATACATTGCCTTGTAGTTAAAACAAACATGGGTGGGTGTGTGCAGGCCAGACTGCGCATGAGTGAAAAGAGGGTGCTTCAGATTAGACAAACTCGTAAGACAAGGAGGGGGAGAGAGTTTTTCCATATGGCTCCTGCGCAGTCTTGAACATGAATGTGCCTGTTTGGTTGTGTGGCTGCAAGTCAGGAAAGACGAGGACACTCTTGCCTGGATTTGAAATCAGGAAAGGAGGAGCAAGGAGGAGACTGGGGAGGGGAGGGTAAAGAGCTGAGAAATCTCCAGGTATGTTTGGAGATTAGCACAAAGACGAGGAACAACTACCACTGAGCCAGGCTGAAGGTGAGGAGAGAAACTGCGAGGGCAGCGTCTTAAAGACCATTCTAGGTCTTCCAAGTGGACGAGATTTCATACCTGGCATGGATCCACAACATCACTGATCATAGGAATATTTGCCACATTGAATTCCACTTCTACAACATCCCTGAACCCTGTTTCAGCGGTGAGTGCATCTCTCTCTTTGAACATGCAGGTGTTTATGCTCTATATCAACTCTGAACTACAAGGAGGGCTTGAAAATATGTTCTTACCAACATTTGTGCACAATCTGGAAGTGAATTTGTAGCTTTTAAGGTGTTTGCTTTCCACTGCAAAATTGAATTTGGGAAATGTGCAATTTGCTATAAATGAGGTTCTGATGCATGGAGGACCTTGAAGGGGTCCAGGGATCAATCTGGAGTGGCAGGTGCTACTGGTACTGACTGATTCTCATGCATTTTTGATCCTCCACAATACCTCTGAAATCTTATTTGGTGCAACCTGGGCAAGGTTGTTCTATCTCATGAGCTTTGAAATTCTCTAAGTGGGATGCTTTAATAGTAGAAGCCAACACAGTACAATATCTTTATTGTTAAAGGGCGAATAAGCATGTCTGGCTATCAGAACAAAACAGAACAAAACTAAAACAAAAAGAGCAATGAAAATTTCAGAAGTGCAATATTCACCCAGGGTTTACTTCCTTCTCTAGGCTTGACTTTGCTATTTCCAAGGCCTGCAGCGCTTGATCATGTGTTATTTATAACAAACATACAGGCTGGACTTGAGTGGAGGCAGAAGATATTACTCTAAGCCAGTGCTTTTCAAACTTGGCAACTTTAAGATGTGTGCATTTCAACTCCCAGAATTCTCCAGTCAGCATGCTCTAAGCTATTCACTAGGCTGGTTAGGGATGATGGGGCTTGTGGGCCATTTATCAGAAAGGACTAGATTGGAGGAATATGCTACATATGTTGATATCACCGCTACAACAGAGAAGGCACACTTCCTTGGTCCCACCAGATGACAATGTTTAATGGAGGAGACCTGGAGCACACCCACTCTGTGGGAACATACTGGGTGGGCAGAAACTATTGGAGACAAGTGGCCTCTCAGACATCCAGGCCCTATGCCATACAGGGCTTTAGAGGTAATAACCAGCCCCTTGAATTGCACTTGGAAGCCGACTGGCAGCCAATGAAGCTCGTGTAGCAGTGGTGACACAGGGGCATACTGAGAGGTGCTTGCTACTGCTCACACCGTTGCATTTTGAACCAGCTGAAACTTCTAGGTGGTCTTCAAGGGCAGCCCCATGTAGAGTTCATTGCAATAATCCAGTTGTGATCAGGTGACCAGGGCATGAGTGACTGTCTGAAAGGCCTCCTGATCAAGGAAAGGGTGCAACTGGTACACAAGATGAACCTGTGCAATGGCCCTCCCGGGGCCTTACATTACCTTACATGACATGAAAGGAAAGGAGTGCAAAAGGGCAGGGAAAAACATAGCCCTTGCTGAACAAGTAGTAAAACGGAAAGAGGGCTTTAACCCTGGGGAACCTGGCTCCCGTTAATCTTCTCTCCTTCTAATGTCAATATGTTGTGCTGGATCGTTGACCTTGCTTTAGAGAAGGGAGGCCCGGCTATGGGGTTCCAGCTTTGGGACAGACGAGGGACTTTTGAGCTCTGTTGATGGCAGACCTTTGTATTAACTCCACTGGCTGGCAGCCTACTACACTGTGATCACTTGTACTGTATGCCGAAGGACTCCAGGATCCTTTCCTGAAGAAGACTCTTTCTGCTTTGTTAACAGCATACTGTCCACGGGCTTCACAACACTGTGTTTGGCTCCTTCAGCCCATGATCCTGATGGAGAGCAACTCTAAGAGGGGATTAGGAGACTTGAATGGGATGGAGGAATCACAGGGAGAGCCCGCATGCTCGGAGAAGGTGAGCACTCCTCTTCCTGGAGATTAACTCAGCACTTTGGACTCTGCCTCCTTTTCTTCCTTGAGCTCCAGCAATCTGCAATAAATGTTTCATCCTTATACAGAGTGCAGAGTGCAGATTCTGAAATGGTAACTTCTATGATTTAGAGTAAAAAATGGCAAACTATTTACATTAGATTTATGCTTGCCAAAATGCACTTATCCATTACTCTACCTCTAAGACCTCATCTTAGATTATATAGTGCTATACAGTGCTTTGCATTCTGTCTCCAAAAAGTGCTTGGAAGCACACAGGAGTGTGAACATAGGATCTGCCTGCAACAACATAAAGCAGATGCTCCTGCAATGTTCTGAGGCACCGTTTGGAGAATCACACCAAAGTGCTGCCGAAGCCCTTAATCAGAATTTGAAGCAATAATGGAGGTGCCACCAGACCAGTAATAAAAAGTGGGAACATCAGAGCCTGCTTCATGTCAGGTAAAACCAAACTACCTGGCATTGTATTCCAGGACATCTGATGAAAAAAGATCTTCTCCATTCTCTTTATCCACTGAATATCTTTTACTGAAAATGGCAGTTAATGAATCTGGTCTACTCTGAACCACAAAAGATGTGTTACTAAACTATTGATTCCTTCCAAGCTCTGTAATAATTTCTACTAATTAGTAATGAATAATAATTTTTTAAATTCCATTCTCTCTCAAGGGCAGAAAAGAACACGTAGAAATATTACAGTTGAATGAAATACATTGGTGTCGGCCAGAGATTTTTGGTGGTTTAGATATTGCAGTATATTGATTGCATTGTTTTAGTTTTTGTCCAGGTTTTGGTTGATTTTACAGTATTTCTTGTGAAATCTGCTGAACCTAGAACATTTCTTAACAATAGCTTGGTTACAAATCCACCCTTTTTTGAGCAAAACTGGTGGATGGCAGTAATAGTTGAAGTCTAGGCAGATTAAATAAGTTTAGGCTACTTTTAAGCTTTGTTTTGCAATAGGCTATGGCATGAGAACCTTGATCAACCTGATAGAGGACTTTGGTCTAAAGATAGTCAGCAGGAATTTCTTTGATCTCCCAACAGCAACTCTGATGCTATCAGCCTTGGTAACTAGTCAAACTAGATTAGGAGATTGGAGTCCACAGGAATAAGATGTTCCTCTCTTAACCTGCAGAATGCATTTTAGAAAGTAGTAGCAGGGGTGGGAAATCTGAGCTTGGAGCACCATCTTCTCCCTGCTCTTTAATATCTATATGTTACCCCTGAGTGAGATAGTAGTGACTGAGTGCTCCAATGGGTAGGTCATTACTTGGATCAAGATATGATTGTTCAGCCAGTTCTGAATGGGGTTGCTATTCCCACATAGTTTTCTTGGCAGTGGTTTGCCATTGCCTTTTTCTGATTTCTTCTTTCCAATTTCCTGATCTAGCCAATAGCCCTGGAATTCAGGTGGTTCCCTCATTCAAGTCCAAGGTCAGATGCTGTCACCTGACATGGCTATTTATTTGTAAATTTTTATACCTGGGATGCCTGAGTGAAGGCAGGGCTTAATATTATTTTACAGAAGACATACATATGAGGCCTTGCCAAATATTGCTTGTATGTACATGAATCTTTTTGACGTTGGGATTCTATCAGAATGGTATATACCAGTGTTTCTCAACCTTGACAACATGCTGGCTGGGGAATTCTGGGAGGTGAAGTCCTCACATCTTAAACTTGTCAAGGCTGGGAAATACTGGTATATACAGCCAGCCTTTCCTTAAGCTCTCAGAGCAGAGTTAAAAATATTACCCCATAGAATAACATCTTGCTACATACATCTGACAATATTCCAGCCATCATAATGTAATGCCTGTCTTCTGGTGGTCTGCGTAAGTGACATTGGGATTGGTACAGTAAGCTCCTTCTTTGGAGGAACACCATGGTTCCAGCCTATACCCCTCTATTCTCTGTTGTAGGATTGCTTATCTTCAGCTCATTGAATTTTTCCATTTTCTAAAAAAGTATCATTTTGCAGCTTTGGGATTTTCCAAAGCATTGCCAATAACTCCGCCTCATAAGAAGTTGTCTAGGCTATATAACACATCTTCACTCATCCCTGAACCCAGGACATAAAAGAAATGCTTCCTTTGAGTATTGCCTGCTTATTGTGTAGGAGGGAGGGGTGCAATTCATTACTTTTTCTGTCTTTATTTTTGTTCTTAAGCATATATTGCCCTGAGAACCTTCCACTGCAGTCTAGTCTGCAAATTTACTTAATAAATAGAAAATGTTTTCCTATTTGTTTAACAAATGTAGCTTTATTTGTATACTTGTGTTATTGGCACAGAATTAAGAAAGGAGTGAGAGAGATTCAGAAGGCAAAACTTCACTTCCTCATGCAGTTGAGAGCTGACCTGGTGAAACAAAAGGCAAAAGAAATAAATTAAAAGAACAGTTTGGCTCCTTGCAGGGTTTAGAGGAGGAGGAAGCGAGACGGCCGGTGGCGCAGTGGACGGCAGCTGAAGTGTGTGCCTGGCTGAGAGGGAAAATGTTGGGAGCTCCAAGCAGTCCATTGCTGGAGGCAGCCAACAGCCATGCCATCTCTGGCAAGGCTCTCTTGCGCCTATCCGAGGAAACCCTGGAGCGCATGGGTATAGTGCCAAAGAGCCTGCGTGAGGACCTATTGCAGGAGATTCTCCTCCTGCGCATTCAGCAAGAAATGGAAGAGTTGCTGGACATTTCAGATGGTGAGTGACGGTATCAGCTTAAACCTGTCTTAACTGGAACAACGTTGTATACTGTATTGGCATTGGGTGGAATCACAACCATCTTCCAGAATTTGTGGGAGAAAAGAGCTGGAAGGCAGGATAGGATTGTAATTTCTGTGTAGAGCATGCACAACACACCTGCCCATTTTTCTTGCATGGGTGCTTCGTTCTTAATGTCCATGTCATCTTGTACACAGTCACTTGTACAGTGAGATGGGCGGCATATATAAATTTGAAAATGAATGAATGAATGACTGAATGAATGTCAGAAACACAATCAATAGTCTTAAGAATACAACAACATTTTTGGCAGCCTCACTGTTCTGAGGAGTTGCTAATCCTGTCACCTAGCACAATATTGTCCATACTGACTGGCAGCAGGTTTTCAATTAAAGTCTTTCCCTGTTCTACCTGGAGAGACTAAAGATAAAATCTGGGACTTTTTCTTCATGCAAAACAGAGATTCCACAACTGAATTATATCCTTGTCTTCATCTTGAAAACACTAATCTGCCAAGAATAGTAATGGAATCAACGGAATGTGTTTTGCAGTCAGGATAAGGCCCATGTAGGTTTAGAACTCACTTTTTTACACTGTTGATCAGCAACCTTTTTTCACCATCTGATAATACAAACTTTGCATTACTTGAATTCAATACTACACAAGTGTTCTTTTGTCTTAATATGTTGTGCAAGCCAGGCCACCACATGATTTGTTTGGATGCAGCAGGGGTGTTTTGTTACCTCGAGCCTAGGTTGTATGAGTCTATGGTAGATTCAAACCAAGGATAACCCACTTGCCATTTCACCATCTTGGTTACTTCATCACCTCAACGTATGCAACAGCATGTGTATGGGTATACAGTGGGGCAAAAAAGTATTTAGTCAGCCACCAATTGAAACTATCTCATAACACATCTACAGTGGGGCAAAAAAGTATTTAGTCAGCCACCAATTGAAACTATCTCATAACACATCTACAGTGGGGCAAAAAAGTATTTAGTCAGCCACCAATTGAAACTATCTCATAACACATCTACAGTGGGGCAAAAAAGTATTTAGTCAGCCACCAATTGAAACTATCTCATAACACATCTACAGTGGGGCAAAAAAGTATTTAGTCAGCCACCAATTGAAACTATCTCATAACACATCTACAGTGGGGCAAAAAAGTATTTAGTCAGCCACCAATTGAAACTATCTCATAACACATCTACAGTGGGGCAAAAAAGTATTTAGTCAGCCACCAATTGAAACTATCTCATAACACATCTACAGTGGGGCAAAAAAGTATTTAGTCAGCCACCAATTGAAACTATCTCATAACACATCTACAGTGGGGCAAAAAAGTATTTAGTCAGCCACCAATTGAAACTATCTCATAACACATCTACAGTGGGGCAAAAAAGTATTTAGTCAGCCACCAATTGAAACTATCTCATAACACATCTACAGTGGGGCAAAAAAGTATTTAGTCAGCCACCAATTGAAACTATCTCATAACACATCTACAGTGGGGCAAAAAAGTATTTAGTCAGCCACCAATTGAAACTATCTCATAACACATCTACAGTGGGGCAAAAAAGTATTTAGTCAGCCACCAATTGGGTATACCTATGATGAAAATTACAGGCCTCTCTCATCTTTTTAAGTGGGAGAACTTGCACAATTGGTGGCTGACTAAATACTTTTTTGCCCCACTGTAGATGTGTTATGAGATAGTTTTCAGTTTTTGCCACTCTCTGGCTTTGGTCCCCTTGCATGATCACTTTTGCCTCTCTTTCTCTCACACAGAATAACACGGGAGACCCAGCAGTTAAAATCACAACTGTCTGGAAAGCAACCAGCCTGAAGCATCCTCTAGCATTGGGTACTGCTGTCAGCCAAGCCTCCAGTTGGATTATGGGTTCATGGACTGGAGAAAGAAAACCAGCAACTTTAGACTGGGAATCAGCTCTCCATGCCCAGCGCAAGTTATTTTGCAGAAAAATATGGACTTGGAAAAAGAGGCTGTTCTATTATTAATACCCCAAAACGGGGAGAACTGCTGATAGCTGTTGAAAATGCACTTCCGCTCTGGGCTGTGGTTTAGACAGAGGTTTTGGGGCAACAGGGGATGCTGCCATGGGGGACTGGGATCCAATCCTTGGAGAGCATTCAAGGTTTCCAGTTAATTTTAAGAATAAACCTATTGACATCATATAGTATCAGGGACAGGCAACCTGGTGCCTGCCAGATATATTGGACTACAACTCCCCAGTGCCTTGACTGTCCCATGTCTAGGCCTGATGGGAAGTGAAGTCCAAAACACCTGCAGAGAATCAGTCTTCCTACTTATTAAGCTATGGTAGTTGTTTTTTTAAGAGGTTCAGGATCATTTCTGAAACTGGAACATCATGATGGAGGTAGAATTACAGCCATAAGGGGATGGAAAATGGCCCAAAAAGATGTTTAATCATAGACAGGCAACCACACCATTTGTACTGTATGTCATATTTAATGCTCATCTCTTTTCAAACAATTACAGACAATTTGTATCATTACCAGGACAGGCATTATTTTTCCCTGCTCCAAACTCCTTTTTATTCCTTGCTTGCTGGAACCTAGATCCCTCCCACCTTTCCTGGCAACCTTTGGAAAGAACCTGCAGTTCCTAATTAGGAGACAAAGCATTGTATCAGCATTTTTTGAACTTCCACGCATTTTAATACTTTTGCTATTTGTTATATTGATATGTGTTATAATTTTAGTTGTAAACTATTCTGACAACATATGCTGACTGGCAGATTGAATTTTTTTCAAGACCAACATTTTGTAAATAAAATCATGCACATTTAGTGCCAACACAAAAGAGACAACATTTAGAATCTTACTTCTTAGATCTCTGTGTTACATCCTTCCTGGCTCAGGAAGACCCTGTTATGACCATCCTGTGTCTAGCACTTGTTTTGAACAGACTCAACTGAGAATTAGTGAATTAGTAAATTAGCCCTCCAATACTTTATTTCCAGAATGAAACAAACACCCAAGAGATGAGATATTAAAAAGCTTGGAAAAATTTATTGAAGTTTTATGTCATAATAGGTTTTTGAAGTTTTTAAATACAATAAATATTTACCAGTAATAATAGCATTTAATGGATCAGAATTCAAATCCATTGCCAAACTGTCAACCTCCCACAATATGTAAGACAGACATGAATCTTAATGAGGGGTGACAGATTGCAGAGCAACCCACAATGACATTATACAGTTTCCTATTGAAAGTTTTTCCACTAACAATAATAATAATCTGTACAGTCAGTTTTGCTTTGACACAGCTAGTACTACCCAGAATCTTCTGGGCTGAATGCTTCAAAAAATACAAGCCAGACGTTCCCTTGTCCAAGAAGGGTGGGGAACCGTTCCTGGCAGTCAGCACCTATGAAGACCAAGGCACACACCCTCTTCCCCAAGAGACCCAGTTGTCATGTTCCCTCCTGGAGAAAAAGCAGGAGAAAGTAAAGCTATCTCTTCCAAGTTTGGTCCCCCAGGTATGGTATATTACAAAGAACTAATGATTCCATCTTTCACTTGACAGCCTATAGCTTCTTGAAAATGCCAAGGTCACAGAGTTACTCAGAAAGCAAGGAAAACCAATTGGTCCAATATTCATGTTTGGTTAATTCTTGCTTCCAGACCGAGCCTACTCTGAAAAGGGCACTTATCTTGCCTGCATTCCAGAGTCAACTTACATGCAGAGAATGGATTCCTATCAATTTTTGCTCTCTTTTAAACTGAGAGATCAGTTCAATGGGCGTTGAGTGGGGAGGTCTGGAATACCATCACCACTAAACTTTACATCCTAGGATTACATTTCAAGCCATTTTTGGCACTGGGAGGGGTGGGGTGAGGGACACTGTGGCCTCATTCTTCACTGATAGATGGCAGATGCCAGGCTTCATGGAATCTTTTTATCCAACACACTCTTTCCTGAAATCACAGTGGAGAACAGTCAGCAATCTATGTGAGGTTTAACCGCCTGAATGATTTGCTAATTCAAAATGAGCACAGCCCAAATGCACAATTTTCATTGGACTTATACCAACCACAAATCATCAGGATTCTAGCTAGTCAGCTTTCCACAGGGTTTTTCTTGCTGTTCATATCCAGTTCTGAACTGTTCTATTCTAATATACAAGGGCTAGACAGAGAATTTCTGGGCCCAGCCCAGTTATTGTCATACAGTATCTGCCTCTCGGTACAACCCACTTTTTGGATTAAGCTCGGCTGCAGAGGACTATGTGGCATCAGGCCCCTAGAGCTGCTTTACCCAGGAATCATTAACCACATTTTCGAGGTTTGCTTCGAAGGGCCAAGCACAGACATCAAGACAATAGCCAATCAAGGCAAAACAAGCATTTGTTTTCGGTTGTTAATTGAAACGGCAAAAAAGGATGCAAGAGAACGGCACGTTACTGAAGAACTGGTTACAACTCCCCCCATCACATTCTATGCCGTCTTCCATTCACTGAGGTAAACTAGGAAGCAAGATGAGGTTAGATTCAGAGAGAACTTGGAACCATTGGTTACACCCATCTCTTGAGGGTGGAGAGCAAGTGGCAAAATGTCCACCTCCACTCCTTCAATACTCAGTACCTTTATCTTCAGAATATTTGAGATGAACTCAGACAGGGTGCTTTAAACCCCACAAATGGTGCATTTGACTCTCACTGAACTTGCAGTCAATTTTAATCAGTAATAAAATAAAGAAAAATACACAAACCTATTTTCCTGTTTTCACCTTTAAAGGTGCTATACCTACTCCTTTAACTTGGACAACACTTAAAGAATGTTTTAAGACAGCTGACTTTTCCCTCAACTTGAGGAGAGTCATTTAAGGCACCAAATTCCTTATTGAGAAGCCCTGATAGGTAGGAAAGTAGAATCACATTTTTTTCCAGTGAAGACAGACAAACAGATCTGCCTCATAACATGCCAGCAAGTTAATGCAAAAGCAAATGTCAGCCGGAAGCTACAGCAGCAACGTTCTTGACCATCACGAGCCTGGATGTTCCCAAGTAATATGTACACTTCCAGGCTGAATCTAAAGGAATCATTTACTAGTTCACATTAAGCCTGCATACATCTAAGGAACCCTGCCTCCCAAGACTATTGGCTTCTGTGGATAGCCATCCCTTTCTGTCCAAAGGATTCTCATGCCACAGTAGCCTGTGCAAAACTATACCATTGATCTGACAACTCTTTGTTTCCAAGATAAGTGCTATTATTCCAAAGAAAGAGACCAAGGACCAAATGTTCCTACAATGATTCATTACTCAACCGCAAAGGCACACCCTTTCTCTGAACTGACCACCTTCTTAGAAACAGACAATGGTTCCAAGAGACTCTAATTAAGTGTCCTGTTTCTTACTGTCACTTATGATTGATAACTGATTATTTTATTCTAACTGATGCAACATCAAATATTCAAGCAAGCTCAATTCCTCTTTACACCCAATTTCTACCCCCTGTGCAAAGTGTTTTGATAAGGACAAAAGGTCTCCTTACCCCCATTTCAAGTTCTATTTCATAGCAGTGGAATATTAAGGAAGCAAAACAAAACAGAACAAAAATCAGAATTGTTTTTCCGTGCCACTCACGCCTAGAAATGTCTTTTTCCTGCTAATAACGAGAACCAGGGCTTTCCTCACTCATACATTCTGTTCTATTGGTTTCCTTACTCATTGTCACACCAGACATGGCATTTGTGGTAAAACTTGAGAATCAGAAAAATAAAACTATTTACAGAAAAGAAGGGGCAGAAATGAATGCAAGAACTAGCTCCAGGATTTTACACTGCACACACCTGGCTTTTTTGACATAATGTTTCATGTTTACAAAAGAAAATATAAATAATAATTTCACAATTCAATTTTTCTACAGAATGGAATGCGTCATCCACAAAAGGGAAATGAAGAGTGGACCTCCCTCTTGTATCAAACCATTCATAAAGTTGCCCTGCATTAATTACATATGAAAAATCTTTTCAGCGCTCAGTTTCTTCCGGGTGCAGCCTTTCCAAGAAAATTGGGTTTAGGCTGCACTCTTCATTTAAGCACACATCCACAGACAAAAGGTTTCTTCATCAAATAAGGTACAAACAGAAGAGAAAAATCAGTGCCGGGTCTTCACCACCACTCAATGAATTCAACAGATTCCCAATCAGATAATAAACAGGATCAAACCATTTGGTTAGGGACTGCTACTAAAACCGAATGTGGGGATCAAAATCACTTGCATTTCTTCTTTTCAAGACAGAAAATTCAATTAATTGTACCCAAGGAAAGCAGTGTCACTCTGAAGGAGCATGCACCACACCTAATTAAACAATTCTGGTGCGAGGCTACCTTATCCCACAAGATAGTAATGTTGTTTATCACAATTGCAACTTAACCCTACCATAAACATGAAGGAAGAACACCTGTTGTTATGCAGTGCTCCCCCGTGCTGGAACGTACTGCATCTGCTGTGGCACCATCTCTCTTCACAATGCATGAGCCACAATTTGGAGGGAGAGGATAAAAAAGGCATTTGGGGAAACATAACTGACTAGTCATGGCTTAATGAAGTTAGGACCTCCAAGCTCTTTAGAAGAGTCAATTCTTTCTTTCTTTAAAAAAAAAAATCTTCTTGTACAACTGGATCTCTGATTCAGGATGTGGAACAGTCCCTAATTATGTACTTCAGTTCCCAAGAGTAGTTTTGTGGGCCCACATTCTTAGCATAGCCATGATGAGAGTTCTAGGGCAATCTTGTGGTTCTAAAGCCATTGTCCATGTCTTTGTGCCTGATGATCTTTCTCTGAGGATTTCATGAAGTCCCCTCCCAATCATGTGGCTTTACTGCCTGCACATTTCTGAAAGGTGGCATGAAGCAGCAGGGGAGAAGACATGAACAACAGCCCTCTCTGGCTTCTGGGTCCTACATGTTCTTTACCCCCAAACCATCCGAAGTGGGTTAAATCTAGTTCCATGGTGATGGTTGAAGTATATTTACACAGGCTACCAAATTTACAGGGCCTCTGAAGACCGCAGGCTGAAGTTTTCCTCTACTGATGCCTTTTCCATGTCTAGTCAATCAGAGCTGGGCTTTTGTAAAGAAAAGGTTCGGATGTTGAAGTGTTTACTAAGCTGCCTCACCTAGATGGAAAGAGAAGAGAGTAAATGAAGAATGGTGGATAAACTTGAAAACAGGGCTTGGCATAGCTTTCTTTCCTCTGTGCAACCCTGTTCCTTGTCTGGGAAACATTAACTTTATGTCAATTACAATTCTCTAGATAATTCATTTTCTACTTGCATTATTTCAAGGCAAAATAGAACTGGGACAAATATCCTAGGTAAACAGGTGATTCTACCTTAATAGGTCTGAAGGATGTGTTGCAGTGGGACATTCAAAAGCCATGGCTAGAACTTTGACCTTTAAGCAGGGACAGAACATCAAGCTCTGAATCTACTAATTCAGAGTTTTGGATTCCCTGCCAATCACTGAGACACCACATCTTTCATCCCCTTTGGTATCTAAGAAGGGGTCCAAGCATTAGCATATGGACCCCACATGGTTAGTTCCCTAGACTTAAGTCTCTCAGTACAAATTCAAACCTCAGAATCACCTAACAGTTTGAGTATGCTTTGGTTCTATTGTATTACAGTACAGTAAGAGAAACTATATAGAAAATATATACATGCAGGTTTTCACAACCAGCATCAGTCCAATGGTGATGAGCTTCTGGGCTAATCAATTAGACTGTGGCCTATTAGCCCGGAAGCTCATCACTATTACACAGAAAATAATTGAAAAGGTGGCTTTTCCTTTCAGGAATGAATGAAAAGCTTCTCTTTATTCAACTTGTATTGCTCAATGGGAACCCCTATTCAGGCTCTAGTCACATATCAGTTTCTTTAAATACAGATTCTGATCTTACATTTTAGACAACTAGAATTTATTTAGCCAGTTGATAATCCTGGCTTACACCAATGGCATTCTCTATGGCAAAAAAACATTCCAAGTGGTGGATGAACAAGATTTCAAAGCTGTGAAAAGCACAGGATTGCCTACATATCAACCAAGGAGACAACTGAAGGGGCTTCAATGGGAAAGATAAGTGAACACATCTGTATGTCTTTCAAAGTTATCTCTACCACCAATTGCCATGCATGGAAAATAGAGTTATGCTGAAATGGACAGTACAGGGAGCCCCAAACCCTGTGGAATGGCTTACCACATTGACTCCATAATGAATGTGCGCCAACGTGATGAAAATGGTGACTAAATAGAGGAGAACTGTTTCCTGTTCTGGTACCAAGCCTGAGATCACTACAAGGATAACAAGCGCAAGTGGAAGAAGCATCCAGTTGAGTGGCTGACATCGAGTGCTGCTCATCTGACTGACGATCAGTCGACACTGGAAGAAAGGGTAAAATATCAGAAGGAAGTTGAAAGAGACAGAAGGGGAAAATGTTAGTCTAGTTTTCTTCCCAACCTGGACTAGTTGAGAATTCTGAGAGTTACAGTCTGAACACATATGAAGGGCAGGAAACTTCAGTCCACCCAACCCCTGTGTTCTTCTCCAGGTAATCCACTGCTCCATTAGTAAATCATTTTGGGAATGTAAAAGATGCTGAAAATATCTACAAGGTCTTGATTGATCATTTTGGCTGATCCAATCTAGCACTGCCCACCATTCTGATTGCTAGCTAAATGCCCCATAAGGAGCTACAAACACCCAGGCTCCTTCTAACATGAAAAGTGCTCTCTTTCTAAAGCAAGAATAAAGCTTAAACTACTACAAGATGCAAGAGTAAGAGGTGGGTTTGCCTTGCCTAACTGGGAATTATATTATCAG